TATGTTTTTAAACTTTTTATTGTGTTGATGGGTAAACTTTATAAACAAAATTACTTACAAGGCATCTGTCACAGGACTATCCTATAGACTTAGCAGTCACAAGCCACTAGACTCACTCAATGAAGACACAACTCACTTGCTACAAAGATGGAATCTGGGAAAAGTAGTGTTAGGATGAAGTAAACTGACACTTAATTTTCAAAATTTGAAAATTTTGATTTGTTTCAAAAGTGGAGATGGCTTCTATTAAATATATATTTTCAATCCCTTAATTTATTTAGAAATAATTTATTGTGGGGGACAACTTCATGTTTTTCAGAAGTTGGGAAGGGACCCAGGGTCACTGCTCACATACAAGCATCAGCTTCTTGCTTAAAATGTAAGTGAACATCCATTTTCCTGTGGGATTTTACAGTCTGTTCCTGCTTGCAAATGAACTGTAGGTCTCTCAGCCTATAGGTGGTGATTATCCTAAGGGCTTGAGAGCATGGGAGCAACTAGGTGAAGGCATGTCAATGGCTATTTTTATAAGTGTGGTTATGTGTGTGTATACGTACGTGCTGATGAATGTCTGTCTTTGTGAGGACTAGATGAGAGTATTAACATTTTTGGAAAGCGAGGACACTTGCCAGTCTTCAATTCTTCAAAGGTTGTTTGATAGTGAGACTTGGTTTTCGTGTAAAAAAGCCTGTTCACCCAAATTACAAAAAAATATATTTTCTCACTTAATTACTTCTAGTAAGCCATATGGGTAGTTTTGGTTTTATTTGCTCGTTCGCGAACAAGTTGTTTTATGCAAATGCATGACAATGAATGCATTACTATTTGACAATACTATTTTTTTCTGTCTCTGAGAGTTCTGACATAGATTTCTAGAAATAGAAATTTGTTTGTGCTGCTCAATGCATCAAAGAATTACATTTGAAAAATAAAACATTGAAGTGTCTTTCCAGAAACAATGTATCAGTTACTCTGGATGATTCATGATGACCTTGCTGTCCATAATGTCTATGAAAACTGTCTCTGTAAGGTCTGAATAGTATGTAGAGTTCCAGAGACACAGATTTTGGAAGAAAAATATTGTTAAATTTTCAGAATCTAATGTTTAATATCTGTGAGCACCACAAATGAAATCCTAGTTTCCCCTGTATTGGGTTAGGCAATATAAACAGATGCTGGGTAAATTAAACCAAAGTTTCCATCATAGCTAGATATACAGCTAGAGGTAAGTGAGAAAATACAGTATGTGTCATGTAACTTTTCTGAACTGACCCTTCAAGGTTAGAATTAAGTTTAGGCTACTGCCACATTCACGTTATATGGAGGGTAGAGATGGGGAAGTTCCCTTGACTTAAGAGCGTTAATGTCATCGGAAAATTCAACCCAGTTCTATGAAGATAGTGTGCATTGACAATTTAGCTCTATATCAATTGAATTTGGGGGAAAATACATTAAACAGACTTTGGTTAATGTGAGACATTTTATTTGTGTGAGTTTTTAGGCATTTCTGTGTTAAAAAGTTAGACATATCGTACCTTTCAGGAAAATATGAGTTTTTGTGTCGCATTTACAAATCTGAAACTGGTGATTACTGTAAGTACTGGAAACATGAACACGATATAAGGCAATGGTTAGAGGGGAGGCAATGTTATGTTTTGTGTTAGTGAAGATTCACACAACTTCACAGTAGGTGAATAAGTGTGTGTGTGTGTGTGTGTGTGTGTGTGTGTGTGTGTGTGTGTGTGTGTGTGTGTGTGTGTGTGTGTGTGTGTGTGTGTGTGTGTGTGTGTGTGTGTGTGTGTGTGTGTGTGTGTGTGTGTGTGTGTGTGTGTAGTGATCCTATCAATCAATCAAGTTTTATTTAATGTGCAAAATCACCAAATGACCTGAACTTGTCCTCTTCATGTCTCCTCTGAACTATAAGCAGACATGCTGTCTGAGCTGCAAGGCTTTGCAAATGGAGCCTACGATTCAGTTTTTAACTTTGTATTTGTCTACTGTAGGAAACACTAATAAATAATAAAATATTCTAGTGTTTATGTGCGTGTATGAGTAAGCACCCATCCATTATGAATGTTACCTAGCTGTATTATGATCATAAATCTGGTTATACTCTAAGTAGCCTATTCCTCTGTGCAGTTGACACAGATTTTTATGAGTCATTTCTAATGGGACTACAGGAAGCGGCTTGAATTGGCTGTAATACAAAGATGCAGGAAACAGTTCTGCTTTAATATGGAAACATAAAAGGACAATAAAGTGCTGCCCACATGGGTTTCTGTCTCTACTGAACTGCTCTACTCTCTCTTATTCTCAGTTATAACTGACTGCTTACACATCAACACACACTCTGTGTCTGTCTGTATGTCCTCTTATTGCACATAGAATTACACCTTCACAGCATTCAATAATTGTTGTTTTGCCCTGTTTCTCCTCCTCTTCTTTCTGTGCTGACATCAGCTGTTATTCTTGCCACCTGCTCACTAGATGTCTGTTTTATCTCTTGCTCCCTCACTCATGGACTATATTTCCTCCTCCTGTTTACACTGGGTTTGCAGACACTGCCTTTTGTCTTTACGGAGCGACTCCCTGCTGGCATGGTGCCTAGAACAAGTCTCTAATCTAATAAACTGCATAATCAGGCCTCTACTGAGTGTGAACCCCAGAGGCAGAGCGAATTGAAGGGTTCTGGCCTAATGGGGACCGGCTTGCATAGGCCCTGTTCTGTGTGTGTGTGTTAACTGTCGGATGTACATTATCAGCGTGTCTTGCTCAGAGCATCTGCTGTGTGTGGACAGTCAAGTCCAAGTCTCTGTAGTTGAGAGTGAAGCATTGAAGTCTTCTCCCAGCCTCTCTGTTGCTCAGCAGGAGCTTCAGATCTGAGGTGGAGGCGGAGGTTTGGGGTGCACTGCTCGGACACCTCCTCTCTCTGCATGAGATACAGCATCTCTCTGTAGAGGCAGAACACACTACTGGTGCTTATTCTGATTCCTTGCCAGTCCTCCTCTTCCTCCTCCTGCTCCTGTTCCTGCTCCTGCTGCCACTGCCTCTTTCTCTGTGCAGTTCCTCAAATGCACCTCATTGACATACCAACACCAAACTTTTATTTATTAATACCGTGTGAAGAGCTTTGTTTCAAAGTGCGACCCACCAGATTGACTGTTGTCATGACAGTTGAGCACATTAAAGATGTGCTGTCAAATTTGGGAATCTTGAGACAGTTAATTGTTTTGGATACAATTATTTTATTTTCCAAATGTCAAATGTGTGTTTGGATAAAATTTGTTGGACGTGCAAAATTGACAAAGTAACACTTTTACATTTATTTTGGGATTGTCTTATGTTAGATTAATTTTGCTCAAATATTTTGATCCACTCTAATGGATACGGAATACTTACTCAGAAAGACTTGATTATTTTTGGATGTTCGCAGGAAACTTTATCAGCCAACCATGTTTCCAAAATTGAGTACATAAATCAACATATGCATTTGCAAAAACCTTTTGTTAATATGCAATGTCATCATAAGCAAAGGTTGTGTCATTCTTTTTTTTGTTTTCTTTTGGCTTCTCATTTATTTATTTTTAATGAAACCTTATTGTAGTGCTGCTTTGGGATTATTTAGCAGAGTGACGCAATGTATTGATTCTAAAGATTGTTGATGGCAAGTTTTCTGTAGATCTATTAATCAATTAATCAACTATTTGATTAAGTGACCATTTTTTAGCTGTCCAAAAGTCATATAAACTATATGGCATATGTCTAACTTACTCTGATTTTTTGGGTGTGTATGTGTACAGTAAAAAAACAAAAAAAAAAACAGTAAAATGTCAGCCAGAAGAAGATGAAAACTACACTCACTCTCCACAGCTTTGATAAGAAAATGGATCTCATATCCTGCTAATGGGTAATTGAGTTAGTTTGACAGAGGCTAGATGAATGAGATGAAGCCCCATGAGATCACTGCTAATGTAGTGTAATGGCTGATATGTGATTAGAAATGAGCATTTCAGAATGAATCACTGGTTAGACGCCTAAAAGTTTGAGAAGTTTCATATTTGGACGTTGGAAGCTCGGCTTTGGCATCAAAAGGCTTTAAACACCTAGTTTTTTTTTTTTTTTGTGACAATGTAAATTTTTGTATTGTCACAGTTAGAAATGGAAATGCTACATACTTTTATCTCCAACCTTTTAGAAAATGACAATACATGGCAAAATTGCTAAACAATTTCAGACCTTTGTGATCTACATGCCATTTTGCAGTAGCAGAAAACACTTCTGTCGACTAGTGTTACTCCCTGATAAAAACCTGTTGTTATTTTGATTGTGAAAGCAGTTTCCTCCATATTGTACATTTAAAGGAATAGTTGGAAAATTGAGGAAATATGTTGATTTAATTTCTTGCAGAGAGCTACTATTTCTGTTGTTTTTACACTTTTGTTTTTGTTCAGAATACACAAATGAGATACAGTGTGTTAATCAGCATACTCTGAGCTTTAGAGGTGCTGGTAGGTGGAGTTTGCTACCATTGGACAGAGCCAGGCTAGCTGTTAGCTGTAACTTAACAAACAGTTATGAGGTTGCAATGGATCTTCTGAGCTATCTCTCAAGAAGAAAGCATCTTTCCCACAAAATGAGTCTATTCCTTCAAGCGGAAGTGTTTGTACTTGTATCTGTAATGCTGGCGAATGAGTGTGCAGCCTGACGTGTGTAAAAGTCAAGGTTTTCTTTGCCCCCAGTTCCTAATTCAATAATAACTTGCTAATCACTCGACCTGTGGTTCTAATTACAAGTGTCGTCAGTGCTCCTTGTTTCTAATCAGTTGATGGGTGGAGAGATGGGGAGAGAGTTAACCCTGTTCTATCTAATCTTGAATTATGCATTACATGGTCCAGTCATGACCGGTGTAGAGCAAACATGTCACACATTTTATGATTATGTGCTGTATTTTATTTTTAAGCTGTTTTAAATGATTCCTAATTGTGTATGTGTTTGTACAGGGGAAGGAGACAGCAGAGGAGGAGGATGAAGTTGCTGTAGGGATGGAGAAAGGCTTCATGGACGAATTCTTTGAACAGGTTTGTTTCTCTCACAGCCCTGATGTTTCCTTCTATCTCTTTCTCTCTGACACTGACTCTCATGCACCCACAAACCTCTCTCCCACTGTAAATGTTTTCACAATACAAATCCGATGCACTCGCACTTCTCATTAACACATTTAACATGTTTATAGTAGGCTAATAACTTGCCATCTTAAATTAAAGTCCGGGTCATTTGCTACACTACAAACAACCTGGGAATGAATCAACTCCTGATATTGAATTTAATCTCATGTTGGTTTTTCAGAGCTCTGTAATCAACCTCATGCTATTTCTATTCTCTGTGGAACATGGATGTTATTTATAGTTATTGATATTGTTGCTGGTGTGGCATGGATTGTTATATATTTCATTTCATTTTATTTCAAATGGCCTTTATTGATTCAACAACACAACCATGCTCTTCTTGTCCAGCTCTGAATAACAACATAGGCGAATTCACTTATTTCTTTCCAGTCTCTCCTCTTGTGCATGAGCCTGTGTAAAAGTCCATCCATGTGTGCATTTGGTGAGTGTATTTCTCTGTACCTGCTGTGCACATGTGCTGGGAACACTAACTGAACATTGTCATGGCTCTCAGAGTGTGTGTGAACTGGGTGGGGTGGGGCATTTTGAATGGGCCTGCTACATACATCTCCCACAGCAAGTGGCTCAGAAATAAAAAGCAGACTTTATATCTAATATGTAATCCATATTATCTTCATATGTCATGTCTTTCATTCTCTGTTACTGCTGTATTTCTTATATTCCATCAAGGTTTAAAAATGTGTGTCATTGCATGTACATGGGGGCTTAACTTTGAAGTATTTAAATCACCATTGCAAATACTGGTACAAAGGTAGGTCGTGTGAGGTTGAATGCCATTCATCAGCATTTGCTAGTTATGAAAGAGACAATCAGCACTTTGAGTTTTCAAAGCAACATGAGACAACAAACACATCACCAAAGAGGCTAAATCATCTGTGACTGAGATGCAGGTGCATCAATCAAAAATCCTGCACAGATATTTTTAATATTTCAAAAGGAGCAGTATGACAAATCATGACAGAAAATACAGACAAACAACATCTTAAATGAGAAGCAGCCATCACATATTGTAACTAACCAACAGGTATATGATGGGCTTACTGTATATTACATAGGAGTTTGGCAAATACTGCTAAATGGTAATGCTAAAAAGTCATTTTAAATTCACATGTTTATACATTTCCTCTATAACCACAACCATTAATTCAAACAACTGGGCATCACATGAATAGATTGATTCATTCTGCTCAACGCTGCTTCCATGCAGCTACAACCACCACCTGCTCCTCAGCATTTTAACTCCCTCCTCCTCCCCCGCTTCCTAATGCATTAGCATTTAGATTTCTCCATTTAGAATGAGTTTATGTTAATGGAAGTTTTGTGTATCTCACACTCCGCCCAGTGTTTGTGAGCTTAGAGACAAATCTGTGTCACATTTGTGCAGATTTATTTCGCAGAATCACGGCAGCAGAGCCACACCGCTAAACCAAAATGTGTTCTATTCTTGTAATAAATATTCAGTACTTAAAATGAGTATCCTGACTAAACTGGAAGGGTCATTCATTTCCGAGTTACTTATCCTGGTCATGCTTGTGGTGGAAACAGAACAAACAGACCAAAGAAGTCCCTTCACGCAGACAGCTAGCAGGTTTAATCCCTCCAATGTGTGTTTGATCTACCTGTGCATTTCCTCCCAGTTGTTCATGACTTGAAAGCCTCAAAGGGAGGTGACCCAGAAGCATCATTATTGTAGGTACCTAAACTTCTTAAACTGGGTCTTCAAAATGTAAAGGAGCTGTGGCTCAATTCTGATGTCTTCCTGAACCACTTAGAAGACCCATTTCATCTCAGCTGCTTGTGTCCACAGTCTTATTCTTTCAGTCATGACCCAAAGATAGTAACCATAACTGAGGGTTGGAATGAAGACTGACCAACTCATTTTTGGACAGAGAAGCATGTTGTCAAACTTAAAGGTGCTGATCTCCAGCGTCACACATCCTACATCATGATGGAGATCAGCCCCTTTTAAGTTTGACAACATCTCTCCAAAAAGAATAACCCTTAAATGCGTACCGTGAGTATTTTGTAATCCCGGACTATATTACACCCCATCATTCATTTCTTTCAATTAACTTTTCAAAATGTCAGAAATGACCGCATCACACCGAGCTGCAAACTGTTATATTACAACAGACATCAACGTCCAATAAAACCAAAAGGACAACATCATCTGCAAATAGCGGAGATGCCTTCCAAACCAGACATTCTCTAGACCAGTGGTTGGCAATAGGCGGCCTGCGGGCCGACCATGAATTTCCTCAGGGAAATGAAAATAAGCGCCCATAGGTTTATGAATGCGGATCAAACGCCGGGATGCACACGGGATGCAGCACATGCTTTATTGAAAGCATGTGAAAAAGGGTCCTTATAGGCTAATCAATTTATTTAACAAGGAAGAAAAAAAAAAGTCAGTCAGATTTTGGGATCGATCGTACAACTCCTCCAACCGGAGTCCTGCACTCTACCCACTGAGCTAAACATGCACATGAGTGTCCAAGGGTTTGAAATAATTTGACTGAAATAATGTTCTGGCCCGCTATGTAACGGCTTGAAAAAATTTGCCCCGGTGTCAGGCTTATTTGCCGACCCCTGCTCTAGACCTTGGCAGTGCCTTCATATTCTGTCTATTGTAATATTGAAAAAGTATAGACAAAATGCGTTCTTGTCAAGTTCAATGACCACATTGCACGTGCCCGAAAACGCAAACAAATCTTTATTTCCTACACCTATAACACACATTTCTCTTTCTTTCTTTTCTTTGAGTGTAAGAAATAGTAGTTTTTTTTTACATCTGCACCCTGGAGTAAAATGCCCGAGTTCAAGATTTGACACTCATTATAGGGATACATGGTATAACTTGACACCTAAAACCCCGTCATTATGTGATGTTTTGGCTCTGAGGGAACATCTGCAGTCATTTCTCTCACATTTGTCTCCTCTCATTTTTGTTCTGCTGCTGCCTCTCGCCTCTCTGACAGTATCCACTGTAGAAACTGAAATGTACGTCTCTATCCATCTGGCATTTCATTCTGCTACATCTGTCTGAAATGAGAAAGTGAAGTAGGAGGACAATGAGTGAAATGTGGAGACATGGGGGATAAAAAGAGAACGAGTTAGATGCCAGAGAGATGGTGAGAGAGACTTTGAAATAAGAGTGAAATTAGACAGCAAGACCAGAGAGGAGGAACGGGTAGTAACATGTGACAGAGGCAGATAGTGAAGTGAGCAGATTAAGGCAGGCAGAGAAGGAGTAATCAGACTCTCACCCTGACTGGGTGTAGTAATTAAGCTTTCAGTCTTGGTGTGGGGGGATAGCAGATGGTGGAGAGACCACTGTAGCCTTTTTTCCTCCACTCATACCATAAACATAACCCTCTGGATATTGATTTCAGTATGTGTTTGTGGCATTTGTTTGCGCAAGCATGCATGTGGCTGTATCTCTGTCTGGTGTTACAGCACAGTGCATTAAGTATCATGTACTCCTCTGTGCGGCATATCTATCTGTATGTTTTTGTGTCACTGTAATAGCCTATATGACAACTAAAGGTTAGGGCTGTATTTTGTCATTGTCAAAAAATCCCATGAAGAAACCAAAACTAATAATAAACTTATCCTTTTAATAAGATATAAACTGTAACAGGTCGTCTCTGCCTAACATATGTAATGCCTCCGTGCCATAGAATTACAACCTCCCAGATCCCAAGTGGAAAGTAAGTCTAAGATGAGAGAAGAAAGTGTCAACAAATCCTTAAATATTCTGATGTACACAATACATGATTAAAAAATTGGAGTGGTTGTTTGATTCTGCTTATTTTGTCTTCTTGGGAAAGAGGGCAGGATGGACTATTTAATTAATCTTTACTTTGTAACTTGTAGATTACAAACTGCATATGCTTTATTCAAAACTTTGTTGGAGACATGAAGGTCTGAAAATCTAATTACGTAAGTGTGAATCAGTATTCATTTTCTTTTCGTTATATAATATTCATTTTGTTTTGTCTTGTAAGCTATCGACATATTTGTAGGCTTGACACAAAGATAATTACTATTAATACACATGGAAGATCTTTACTGCTGCATATGGGCGACACATTTCTTCATATAAACGTGGCCAGTGAAGTTCATTCCTCTCAGCTCGTCAAACTAGCAAAGCCGTGTACAAACGACACTGTGCTTTATTACGGTCTGTGATTGAGTTTGTGTTAGAGTTGAAGAAGGTTGAATCACTGCTGTTGATAGCCTTAATGAAGTCTTCTGCGATCTTGTTCAATAGCACATACGAAATCTGACATAGGCTATTTACCTTCAAACGTTCTGGCCTTCGGTGTGTATGTGTAAGAGCAATTCTGTACCATATGCTCTATGTTGACTTCACACCTTTGATGTGTTTGAAGTGTCTGAATGACTGTGTCTGCAAGATGTGATGTTTAGTTGAGATTTTAATCTAATGCGCTCATTAACTAAGCTGTAACATTATGGAAACTTGCAATTATGCTCAAAAACAAAAAAGCCCCTTAAGAACCCTATGAGATTCATGATATTACAATTACATATATATACAACTAAATTAATTAAAGTATATTGTATTAAAATCCTTATGCACATCACAAACATTAAGAACCCTATGAAGTTCGTGATATTATAGTTATATGTATACAAATACATTAATTAAAGTGTATCCTTAGGCACATCACAAACATTGAGAACCCTATGAAATTATCTATATACAAATAAATTTATTAAAGTATAGCGTATTATAATCCTTACGCCTTATAGACTTAAAAGCAGATGGAGTTTGATTTGTTATTTGTGTGAGAGTTTAAGTGTTTTCTGGGGTTTATCTTTTGACATCGCCCCCCTTGGTGCCACAGTGGTGCAATCACATGTCTAGT